CCAGACTGACGTGGAGACATCTAAGCACAATGAGCTCCATCAGTCCAGCAGTGGTAGAAAGGCACAATGAGGCCGTGTTCCCACGTGCCAGCCAAGGACCAGGCTTGTGAACAGGCTCTTCTGGGGAACGTACTCTGGGCCGCTATAGGAAGTCTTTTTCGGGTGCTGACTCACTAATGAAGTGGGCCAGACATGCCCAGTTCTTGACATTCTGACTCGTGGTACATTTCAAAAGTGTGTTTACAAGCAAACGAGGCGAGTGTGCAGAAAGTGTAAGACTAAGATGTGGGCAAGAAGGTGAGGCATCTCATATAATAGACTCAGTCATGAAATTTTTCTCAATAAATATACAAAATCAAAGATGTTTACCCTGCTTTTGTCCACGTGCTGACTTGAGCACCCTYGCCATAGGCCAGTCACCATGGAGCACCCATCTCATGGAGCACAGCGCGGTGACACGGATGGAGCCAAGATCACTAATGCAGTCCTGCTGCCTGGTACAGCGTGGGCCCTTCTAGACTGTGTGCTTCTCGGCTGGCAGAGTTCCAAAGTGCTTGAGCTGGTTGGGAAACTGTTTTACAGCAAGAGAGGCAAACTGTTAACAGAAATTGCACTTTAGGTTAGAAACCTGCTCCCTTTGGGTTGTTCAGTAATTATCGGATAATCATTTAGAGTCTCTGTTTCTTATGTTCCCCAGTTAAAATCTGACAACATTTTTCTTTTGGGAAAGAATATTTGTTATTTACTCAGAAGAAAGATGGGAGGCTGATGTCATGGTTTCTGAAAATCATTTATTCCCTACAACCTTCTTGCTATAAAACAGGGGAGAGTTTCTGAAATACAAAGARCATAAAACTGATTTACACAAAGACAAGTGACCTTTGAAAACTTGGGATATCACCAGGCCCATATCCATCTGATGCATATTTCATTTTTGATGCAACAAACTTTGGGCTTTCRTTATTTCCAGTCTAAGATTGTTTTATGTTCGTTGATGGACACTACCTCTTTCCTTCCCCAAGACCTGAATCTGACTGCAGGAACAAGCATCCTCCATTACATGACTAGTTCAACACAACATCTCAACACAAAACAAACGAAATTATTTATTTAACTCTAATTGGGAATGTGTGCATATAAAATGTAAGTGTATATGTAATGTACACTATTAATAGTTTATGTTATGTGCTGTTTAAAATATTTAAAGGATGTCTGTGTTTTAGTTCAGTCCCCTAGTGACCCTTGGGTTTTATTTCATCATCATCTCACAACTGCAAAGATAAAGAGACTGAATGTCCTTCAATGAGATCTTCCAAGGAAAGAATTAAAAGACAGGACAAGGCCCCACGGCTTCCCTCCTCCGTGTCTGTGTTTCCAGCCAACCGAAGTCTAACGGAGATGAAGTTTGGGTATTTTCCTGCATCATCCAGAGAGTTAGACTGGGAATGACCTTCTCCTGCACACTCTGCCAGCTCACACCTCTCCACCCTGCGCCTGCACCGCTGGGTGCATTCCATCTGGACAGAGAATGAGAGCAAACATTTCTTTCTCTTCTTAATGAGGCAAGAAAAGAGTAGTTGTAACTGATATTTTCCAGGACTTATCAGGCCTGGTTAGAGGCTTGGAATGCATGAGTTCTTCTGGCTTGTTTTCTGGTCCAGTTATTTAGGTTATTAGTTACTGGGTGTCTTCACTCCCTAACCCACCCGTCTCCAATAAAGGAGGAACCGCAGGCATTGGGGCGGCTCTGCCCGCCTGGCTCTGTAGGAAGGGCCCGGCAGCATTTCTGTCAYGAACCATTTCTAAGGTTTATAACTCAGCCATAAATACTTGTCACCAGCAGAAACTTAGCCCGGAGGGTCACAGGCCTGGAGTGAATTATTCATTTATAAATTTCACTGACTTGCTTTAAATTGTTTTAACTGTATTTATCTTTTGTGATGGGAGGAGAAATCATGGCTTTATGGTTCAAGACATTTTTGTCCCCCTATGAATCAACGAGCGTTGGGATGTAAGCAAAGAAGTCAGCCAAAATGTGGCCACTGGAAACAGACAACGATTCTCCTTTCTTCAGAGGAGGGCTTGAGGGCCAACATCATTCAGCCRAAGCTCTATTAACAGAAAGTGAGCGCTCTGAGCTGTTAACTCCCCAAAGCAGCCCTTCCCATTTGCTTTTTCTTCTTCCACATGAGGACCAGCAAGCTGCCCATTCATGCTACATCCGGCCAGACAGGGCRGGCAGGGGTGGGAGGCGACCCTGTCTCGGATGGTCCATGTGCCCCCTCTGAGAGGCCGATCTGCACCTCTCTTCCATGCTTTTACATTTATTTCTTAAGAGAAAATACTAGTTCCATGCCACTTTTTAAGTCACATAGGACTTTTCAAAATAATATAAATTCCATTCTCTATAGGTAATACCAGTTACACATGCACCTTGAAATAGCATCCATGTAAATACTTGAATAAATAAATGATCTGACTCCAGTGGTCACACCTTGCTAGAAACAGTTAAAAATAGGAAACATTTCAAATTGAAACATTTGAAATTTGGATTTATAACTGACCAGTTGTGATACAAATGGGCACACGTTCAAGTGGATTCTACTTCTGAATTCGTATGACTTAAAGCTTAATTAAAAATGTTGTCTGCACTCTTAAGCATTCTGTCTACTTCTAAGGAGTTCTACATCCTGCTCTATTAAAAAYAGTCACTAAAGTTTGGTAGAATGTTCTGTTTTACGCATGCAGACCTTTAAAATTTTGTCCTGATTTTTCCTGATTAAAAAAGCAAGAGACCTTTTAGAAAAATTTGGAAATACCAAAAAGCCTAAAGAAAACAACTGCTTTAAAGTTCTTAAAAATTGTCAAAGATTAAATATAGTAAAGGTGTATAATATAATGGTTTGATACATGTCAATACTGTGTAATGATTACCATAATTAGCATGTCCCTTACCACTCATGCTGCACACTGGGTTCCCTCAACTTGCTCATCTTACCACTGAACGTCTGTACCCTCTAACATTTCCACCATCTCTGCACCCTCAGCTCCTGGAAAGCACTGTTTTCCTCTCCATTATTGTTTTGACAATTCTAGACGACACTACAGGTGAGATCATGTGGCATCTTTCTATGTCTGGCTTATGTCACTTAGCATAATGTCCTCTAGGTCCATACATGTTGTCACAAGTCTCAGGATTTCATTGTCAAAAAACACAAATGATCCAAATGAAAAAAAAAAAGAGCACTAGACTTGAAAAAAAAGAAGGCATAACACTGGCAATTAGATACATGAAAAAATGGTCAAGATCACTACTCATCAGGGAAAAGCAAATCAAAGCCACAGTGAGATAGATACCACCTCAGCCTGTGAGKAGAGCTGCCATCAACAAGACTAGAGATCATCAATGCTGGTGAGAGTGTGGAAGAAAAGGAAGCCATCTACCTTGTGGGGAATTTAAAGTGCAATACCATTATGGAACATGGTATGGAGGGGCCTCAAGAAATTAAAAATAGAACGACCATATCACCAGAGCAAGCTCTTGTTGGGTGAAGCCCTAAAGGAACATCGTCAGTGTCTTAAGAGACATCTGCACCCCATGTTCATGCAGCATAATTCATGATGGTCAGCAAGTGGGTACAGCCTCTGTGCCCATCCASAGACAAGTGGATGAAGAACACGTGGTTTACAGACACAATGAATAATATTCTGCTTATAAAAGAAGGAAATCCTGTCCCTTGCAGCAACACTGATTAACCTGGAGGATATATGTCAMGTGAAGTGAGCCAGGCACAGAGAGAAAAATACTGCATGGTTGATCTTTTTTCCATGTAGAATCTAGGGTGAACAAACTTAAAGCATAAAAAAGTTTATCATCTGTCATTGTAGTAAAGCTCCTAGAAGACTGAGGGGGTCTAGACAGTGAGTTCTTGTCATGGAAAAACCTTTAGGGACATGGTGGCGGCRTAGGAGGGAAGAGGTGGTCTGAGGACAGGATGGGCGAGAGTTGGTGGAGAAGCATGATTTTCCACTTGTGCTGGGTCCAGACCCCTGCAGTCACAGTCACAAATCTTCTACTTTCGGTCTCAAGAGGGAGGGAAGCTGTTCTGTGCTATAGCCCACGCCCTTCCTGTGTGGCAAGACGGGCAGATCTGCTGTCCCAAAGAAAGACACAGTGAAGAGAACAGGTCAGGTGCACGTCAGTCCCATTCCCACCAGCCAYGGGGACAGATGGGCTTCTCCTCGGGGGAGGTGCCCCACAGGTGTTCTGTGGGTGGCGATGGGTGGGGTGTGCTGGGCCAGGAGGACCGGGCAGAAGGCTGAAATGGTATTTGGTCTGCGTGGGCTCACGCTGCAGAGGTGACGTTGCTGTAGGATTAGTTCTGCATTCTTTGGAACGGCAGCTCATTAGAGTCCTTCCACAGCTCCATGGTGTCATCAGAACCGAGTCATCGCCACCACTGGAATAAAGAGAGAGGCCCACGCAGGGAAGGTAAAGGACGCCTCTGCTGGAGGCCCTCAGCTTCACCATGACAGGCGCAGGACGAGGCTCCAGACTCCTGCGCCACTTCAGTCCATTTCTGGGAAACTCTGAGTTGGAGTAACATGCTTCTCCTGACTTTTATCATCAACTCAAATGTAGCTGAAAATATTTTTTAAACGAAATTCTTCGGGTTAACATTAAAGTTACATACTGTTGTGTGTTCAGCGTAACGAACACGTCAAACATAAAAATTGGCCTCCCTAAGTAGGCTATTTCAGTAGCTATTTTCTTCTACAMAAGATTTTGTGCATGGGATTGGGAGCTTTTTGAAGTGTGTGTTCTACAGATTCTATTTCTTATGCTGTCGAATCCAGCTTACCAAGGAACCTATTTTTACTGTCTTCTCTGTTCTTAAAATTCCATCCTGATTGATATGCCCTTTCTTCATATGCCAACCTTGCTTTTGTGGCATTAGTTGGATCCCTAATTTCTACTGTAATTTTGTTTTTTCTCTTAGGTAAAGCTGATCACCAATATCCCCTCTTTGTGGCTGGAGGGGTAGTTCTGTTGTTTGCTGTAATCATCATCATCATCATCATCGTCATTTCTTGTAACAGGTGAGTAGAACAAGTACCCCAATCTGGTTTGCCCTGAGTCGCTGCGATGTTACCGGTTCTCTATTAATAACCCAACAATTTGTCAAGCTGTCTCGGCATCCACATGTATTTCTTTGAATACGGCTCTTACTCAAGGGAGGAGGCGTTAATATCAGAAGCCAAAGCCAGAGAGAGTCATTCCCTGAGGGATGGGCGGAGCCGGCAGCCTGCTGCCTGTTCCCCATCTCTCGCCCCCTCCTCCAAGGAAATAGCTGCCAGTGAAGGGGTGTGTGTGTGTGTGTGTGTGTGTGTGTGTGTAAGAGAGGATAATGCCTTAACTTAGGCACTCATCAGATATCTATTGTGCAAAGTGGTGAAGGAGATGTAGGGAAGCTCCCAATCTAATAAGCTAGCAGTAAACTCAAAGTGGTGGCATACTTTCTGAACAGTGGTCTAGATGCTACTGTTAAGAATTACTGAGGAAGAAGAGCGGGAGGCTCACCCCGGAGAGAGGGCAGCCATCTTAATCAGCAGCAGCTTCCTGCTACTCATGGTGTGGCGCAGGGGATTTTCTTAGCCGGCCCTTTCTTCTCCAGACTCTCCATGTCTGCCGACCCATTTGCCTAGCATTGGTTGGTCCTTCTAGAATCACACTGGGTTGGAATTATACTGTGGGCCAACAACAGTGGTTGGAGTGTGTGTTCTACAGATTCTACAGGAGTCTGTGGGGATAGGCTTGTTGAGGGGGAAAGGGACCATGACTTTGCACATCTCTCTTATAGGTCTGTGATGGCACAGATGTGCTTGTTGGCTGTGCACATTTCCATCTCTGCTCCACTCCCAAGTAATGTGCAGCTCTTTAACAGGATTGCCAGGAGGTTTCTGCATCACCTCTGCATGTCCTTGACCTTTGCCTCTTCTGCCACGCCCCTGCCCTCTCCAACCTGCCCTMCTGTTCTCAGACCATCCTCTCTCTAAACCATTCCTAGTTCCTCTTTTGTCGTCCTCCTGATTAACACTGTTACCCTCCCACTGCACCCAGAGTAGTTTTAACCTCATCAGCCCTGTCACTGAAGGTGCTCGGCTCTCTGACTGCAACTTAATTTTTGTTCATAGTTTCTACCTTATTTACTTTCTCTAAAATTCACAAATTTTTATTAAAACTTTGACATTTATTCTTTGCGCACACCCACTCTCTTTCATTTGCTATGCTCCMCAAATGCAGTTTCCCTGTATTTGCCCTTAATCTTGTGCATTGTAACAGGAAAGACACCAGTCCCCTCTGYGAGGGCTGTCCTGTTTCTCTGTCCCTGGGATAGACATGATGTCACCATCCAGAATCATCTTGCACTCCTATCTGCTACTCCTCGCATCCTGCTTTGTATTTTGATTGTATTCGGGCTTGTCTTCCCTACTGGGGCATTCATAATGGCAGGAYTGTGTTTGTTTATGTTCTAGTGTTGGATAGCATTCGGCAGCTCATCTTCCCAAGCCCTGGAGGGTCAGTGRTCATCTGCCTAATGAAAGGGGAACAGGGCCAGTCCTTTCACCTTTCTCTGCATCGTGGCTGCCCTCCAGTCTTTCCCTGACCAGAAATTAGCAAATGGAGGCAGGGGCCCCGGGTTAGTGTCCTAGAGGGTTTCTCTACTGCCTCACGTTGGCTGATGGAAATGCAGACCCGGTAGAGGGAGTCTGGGGGAATAGGCAGCGTGACTGAGAGAACKCGGGGTGGACAGACCTCTGGAGGGTCACAGATGTTGGACAGGACAGGCTTTGCTTCATGAAAACACTTTGCTTTCACATGAGTAGTTAAACTGAACTGTGGAGTCTACTGTCCCTCTTGGGTCCAGGCGAWGGGAAGATTAGTGGACGTGAGTGTCTAATCAAGGGTGAACTCCACAAAGGAAAGGGCAGGGTTCTTCCTGCCTTGTCTGGTCTCCCTTTGTGGCTGTTACTTTAATTCAAAATGTTTTGGAAAATGACCCAAGGGTTTCACCAATGACCCCTGAACCCTATCGTCCAACCATTTGAGATAATCCCTCAGCCTCAGATGTGCAAGTCTGACTTCAGAGGGGACGCCCCGTCACCTGCTCCAGGGGCACTGGAAACGGATCCTCTGTCCTGGGTTGGTAGGGGTCAGAACAGCAACAGTAAGAATGGAGCATGCTGCGGGTGCGCAGTGCGGGTGAGCACCAGGAGAGCCAGCTTGTGTTCTGGGCACGGACACCTGTGTCCTGGGAAGAGCTTGAATCCTTAGRGAAACGTCAGACACTTCTCTGCAGATTGCTGTCAGTCCTCGTGCTTAGGATGAAGGTGGCATCTGGTTTTCCCGGCACCTTCCTGGTTTCAGCATTTCATCCCAAGGAGATGCCTTAGTCCCCGGCAAATGGGAACAGCTGGCCAACTTAGATCAAATGGTGATGTTTACTATCTTTATTTTACAGACAGAGGACTGATCTTTTGAGATGCAAAACACTCAGCCACTAGATAGCAGAGCACAAGTTACATGGAGTCTGATTCCAAGCCCAACCTTCTCTTTCATTCATCATGTTGCATGCTCCGGGCTTATTTCAACACACAGACACAGCRATCCGTCTGGGAAAGTTAGCTGTATGTTATGGGATAGACTTGTGCCACCTCATGGTTTAATTAAAGATCAAAGGTCATAGACCTGTGYCKTGGCTTCCTCATCTGTAAACAAAAGGTAATAATAGTAGCCTTATGATAGATGCCTTTGAGGAATAAATTATGTAATTTATACAAAACACTTAGAAATGAATTTTGCATGTAGTAAATTTACACAGAGAATAAGTAAATGAAAGAATAATCAACATAAATAAGGATAATAATAAGTAAATTAATGCCTATAGAATAAGATGAAGACTGTTAACATAGTAGAATTTCCAAATTACTAGAAGAGATCATTAGAATCAATATCCACTACTGAATAACCTTTCCTTGAAGAGTGACTATCACGTTTTCAAGATTTTTAATAAGGAATTGAGATCGCATCTTACAAAACACAGAACAAAACAAACCTCTATATTTTTGCATGGWATCCACCTCTTCCGTTGTYCAACAGGAATCTTTGCTTTAGGGAGATGGAAGAGAGGTTGACTTTCCCCAGAATAATTGTCTTCACACTTGGATATGTTATTTCTCCTTTGTTCAACTACAGTACCCTCTTCTTTCCTTCTCTTGTGTTTGCTCTTTTAAGATCTCTCCAAAGTTAGGTTTCATAAGCRTCATTGGAACTGTGGAGAGTTTGTGGAGTACTGTGGTTGCAGATGGTTGCCGGCCACATCAAAGTGACTCTGAGAGAAGGGAAGCCTCAGAGCTGGGTGGGGGRGCTGAGGGCCGATGCTACCTGTAACATAACGAGCCACGTGATCCTTCCTCTCTGCACCTCAGTTTCCTAACCTGTTAAGTTTAGAATTTTGATGAGATCTGAAGAAAATCATCCATACAGGTTATATAGAATAACACCTGGAAGATTTTATAACACTGAGCTCTGTGAGTGCAGTCACCTAAGAAGTTTCACTGTTGGCTTTCAAACATGTTTTAATCATGAAAATCTCTAAGTCCAAGATTCCATGGAGAAGGCTGGAAGCCCTTCTAACGTGGGTTCTCAAGGAGAGTAATTACCATGGACACTGCTGGACAGCTGCGGAGCTGTGTGCACCCTCCAGGGAGTGTGGGAGAGGTGTGCAAAGTGAGTGTCAGTCACTAGAATGCTGGACAAATACGTGTGGAGCACCTGTGGCTGGTCACGAGCACATATTCAGTAGGGCACGTGGACTGGGGACACGCCGAGGGGCACCATGCTGGACTGCAGCATCTTGATGTTTCCTGTTGACTGTGTGTTTTAGAAGGAGGAGGAGACAGAAGTCCACCCCGTTTAAAGAGTCCTGGGATACAAAGAGTAAGGTGAGTTCACCTGGAATTGTCATTTCCCCCCTCTTTCATGCTTTATAAATATCTTGTAAAGTCCGTCTATTTTGCAGTTATGGATCTTATTTTTGTTTTATTTTTAATAACCTGGCAATGCAGTTGATAATTCAAATATTGATAATTCAAGTATCAGCTTATTTGAGGAAGCAGTTTACTCTCTGTACTACTCTATTAATACCTTTTGACACCAAGTTTTTTTTATATCAATATGAATAAAGGAGCAATTACACTGACACAGTAAGAATCAACCCTGTGCATTACCGAAATCCGCACGAGTTTTCTAGGGTTACTATTACAAAGGACACAAACTGGATAGTTTGAAACAGCACACACTTATTCCCTCATGACTCTGGAGGGTTGAAGTCCAGAAAGAGGTGTGAGAAGACTGGTTCCTTCCTGGGGTGAGATGGTTCCAAGCTTTTCTCCCAGCACCTCCTGGTGGTTGCCTGCAATCACTGGCTGTCCATGGCTTGTATACACGTCTGATTCTGCCTGTCTTCACCTGGGRTCTCCCCTGTGTGTGTCTGTGCCTCTCCTCTTATAAAGAAACCAGTCATCTTGGAGTAAGGAGCAGCCTCCTACCCCAGTGCATCCTGATGYTCACGTCACTAATTTTATCTGCMAKGATCTTATTTCCAAAGAAGGCCACATAATGATGTTTGCAGAAGGATGTGAGTTTTAGGGGGACCCTATTCCAACCAGTAAAGAGCATAACATTATTTTGATGTCATAAAGATATTGTGGTGATTAAATCAATCTAACCTACATTCAAGGCTCAGAAGCAAAGCGTGCATGTAAAAGGACATAATACATGATATTTGTTACTATTATTACCTTTAATTAATTATGAATTAATGAATGCTCAAATTACATTATAAACCTAAAGAACTTTCTTGTGGGTTGCAGGAGTCTGATGAACTATTAACATTTCCATCTCGCTCTACTTTGCTACTGTGCATATTGTTTGGTTAAAGTAATAGAAACTTTGGAGTTTGTAGATAGCAGTGATGCTTAATTTCATGTTCATTGCCTCCAGCGTATGTCAGATATTGCTCTCTTGTGCACATATTATTCTGTTTATTAAAATTCGCAATCCAATGCTTGTGTTAGGATTTCACACACAGCAGGAGGGTCTGATAAGGAAGGGCCTTGGGGAGGTTATTCATGGGTGGAATCAGTGCCCTTGTAAGAAGAGAGGCCMGAGGTTGCTTCCTCCTCTCTGCTTTCTGCACAAAAAGCCTGGACACAAGGAGAAGGTGGCCACCCACAGATCCAGTAGGCAGCCCTCGCCACACATTTGGTCTTGGATTTCACAGCTCCAGAACTGCCAGAAATAAATGCTTGTTGTTTAAGACACTTAGTCTGTGCTGTTCTATTACAGCTTGCCTGAGTTGACAAAGGCAAACATTTTCTCAAGTGCTATCCAAAATCACATTGATTTCTTTTTGCTTTAATTATTTGCACTTGAATTCAACACTGCTAAAAAGTCAAGTACTTCAGCACCCAATACGGGTGCTTCAGACTTCTTAATAATCTGTCAACTTAAGATTTTCCGTTGTTAAGCAGTTACTCTTTGCAAGTCAGATGTGTTTTTCTGACTGACTCACAGCTGGCTTCTTGGCACCAAATGCAGGCTCCAGCGGCTCGGCTCCTCCAKCTGTTGCTTGGCACACAGTGGACGCTGCCCGGCCATGTCCACTTAGTGGCTTCTTTCTCTTGTTCCTAGCTATTTGCCTGCTAAAGTCAATCCAAAGGAATATTTATTGTTATGAATTTTGAAGAAAGGAGGATGCTTTAGGACTATGTTAGGTATCCAGTTCTTCCAGGCTTTAGAATAATGGTATTTATTATATCGAGGACAATTTAAAACTTTGATAGTAAGAGGGACTGTGAAGGATGAAGAGGATAGAGCTATTTGATCATTTTGCTATCCCTCACAGGTGATGTAAGGAACAAGGCACCTGGATTTTCCTTCTGCTTTCTTCTTGCAAACACCAAAATCATTCTAACTTTTGAAACCACTCACCAGAAGATCTCTCTTGCTTCTCTTTCCTCTCTCTCAATTTTGCTCTTTCTCACACCTGTATATTTTGTCTCATGTGCACATTCATCTTGTCACATGTGCACATCACTTGATTAAAGTAGAGAATATTAATGGTTAGGTACCATCAGCTTGAAGGAGAAAGTTTGTTGCATCGTTCTTTCATTGTGTTCAGTTGATTATTGTTAAAGCTAGGACACTGTGTACTCTAAGAATAGTTACTAATTAAGGCATCATTCAGTAGACATTGATGGATGCCCACTATAGGGAAATACCAACCTACTTTTGCATCTAAAAAGGAAATTCATAGCACAATACAGCATTAAARATCTGGATTATGTTTATGCTGCATCTTATTCAGAATCCTATAAATCAAGAAAGTGATTTCTAACAGAAGTTCTATACCATGGAGGGAGTGTTTTAGAAATTACTTGTAGTGGAATTTTGGCCTACATTATGGTTCAATTGAGAGATTTATGTTGAATATCTTTACTAGCTGATGAAACACACTGAATGATTGATGCCRTTGCTGTTTATTTTGTAGGCAGCCAACAACTACAGAAGCCCCATCTCCACCACTCAACCCATGGAAGACACAAGGGAGGACATCTATGTCAACTATCCTACCTTCTCTCGAAGGCCAAAACCTAGAGTCTAAGCTTTTCTCTTGATATCAGCTAACTAATGGAGACTATTAGATACATGGTCTTTATAATTTCTTCCTACCACCCCATGACTGTCTTGATTCCAGCTGACTAAACTTCTTTCATTGGTAGAGAAAACACTGCGTGACCTAGAGAACATCCTGAACAGGAGTGCTTCAGGACCCCTGAGTCATKTTAGCTCCTGCATAAGGGAAGCTTGCTGGATCAAGCCACAGAGGAACAGGGGAGACCAGACATGAGTGAGCTTTACTTACCAGGGCTCTAATGTTGTGTCTAGATTTAGACATGGCCCTAAGCTGGTTCAGATCCCCTCCCACAGCAGTGGATGCACTTGTCCGGCTTTGGCCTAACTCCCATGCTGGCTTTTCTGTGTGCTTTCAAGATGGCAGCCAACCACTGAAGTCATTTGTGACCCTGTTTGCATTGGATGAAGTGTTTGTTTTTTTTTTTAACGCAGCAAACATATTCGATTATTTGCCTATCATTAAGCAGGCATTGTGGTCATTAAGGTGAGATAGCTTACCTTAATTAAGGGTTCACCTGTAAGAGCTGGAGGTGGGGACAAAGCGCATGAAAGGGCAATTCAGGGTATTAAAGAAGGAAAGGAATGAGGAAGCTGTGATTGTTACTAAATGTTGACTGCAATGACGTTCCAAGACATCTCTTCCTAACCCTCTAGAAAGTGAAACCAGATTAGTTCTCTCTCTCTCCTCTCTTCTAGAATCTTCTCTATCATCCATAGTCCAGAAGAATACCTGGCAGCACAATGAATGAAGTCAGAGAAAGATAATGTGACAGGGTTACCATTTTCTTTTCTAATAGAAAATGAAYTTATCTCTGAATCTATGTAGAATTCTTGCCACCATCCTGGGCCTAGCCTAATGAGCAAGTGTGATAGAGGGTCCAAGAATAAATAATGTAAATACTTTTAATATCGATTTTTTTCCTTTTGCTACCTTTGAGAATTATTTTTAATATGCAAATTCTCTCAAAATGGCCAGGAACCTACGCAKTAAGTTCTCTAAAAATAATTTTGTGTGAAAACTTGAATACATGAAGAGAGAACATGGTTGGAAGTGGTGCTATAGGGTTGTAGGGTAGAAATTTGAGCCTGGAGTCGGGAGAGTATGGAGAGGAAACAGGAAAGGAGGGAAAGTCATCGGGGAATAAAGTACAAAGGGAAATGTGGGCTTCACAGTTTGGACATTTACCCTCGTTTTTATTATCATTGCTTTAGAACTTCATATGTGGATTCATGAACTGTTTCCATGAGTTTATCAACATAACCCAGTGGAAAGGCCGTTTACCAGAAAACACTCTACCGTCACGTTTATCCAAGATGCTAGGGCCAAATCCCTGAGTGAGTTCACATTGTGAACCAATTTAGCACCATTTATAAAAGAAGCTGTTTCTTTTTCTCAAAAAGTTTAAAATGATCTGGAAGATTCTGATAACCAAATTCTCATTGATTAATACAGGTGAGAAGTAAAACATTTCTACAGTCTTAACRTGAAGGACTATAAATCCCTTCAAAAGAAAATAGCTACTGGGGTGACAGGCTTTCATGATGAACCACTTAAGTGTGCTAGCCCCCAGGATATCTGAAACTCATCTCTGTCTCCCTATTTTTTAATTTTTTAAAAATATCACACTCAAAATATTTATGGGCAGTATTTACTCTGTCCTTTCTTCTTTCCATGTGGACTTGCTATTCGGGAGTTGGGAACCTCCTGCAGCCTGCTGAAGTTCTCTACTGCCTCAGCTCTTGGGCTGATGAGCTTCTTCCCCATTTCCTTCTGGGACACCCCAGCCAGGCACTGTCCTCGCAGTCTCYGTAATCTCTGTAATGCCACACCTACAGCACCAGGTCTTTGAACTCTACCCTCCCCCCTTGCTTTCCCTCTAATCTGTGCTTAYTTTCCTGGGTGTTACTAGGAAAATAGATCCAAACAGATCCTCAGAGTAAAGACCAAGATGGGAATTAAACTATATTTGTGTTTTTTTTTTTTTTCTGCAAGATGCTGCTTTGGAAGCGAGATGCAGTCTTAAGATTTTTGTCTGTTTTASATGTGTAATTTATATTGGTACATAATCCAACATCAAATAAAACCTATGCTTCCTTTGAATACATGATTTTAATATTTACATTTAAAATTACCAATTAAGGAAATTAGGGTGGCATTGGTGGTATAGTGGTGAGCATAGCTACCTTCCAATTGAAGAAATCACTATTTGATAATATGGTAGGTAARTGCGTTAAATGTCATTAAAGAGGATTCAGTTTATCAGGGAAAGAGCACATCTTTAATAAATATAACTTACAGTAACTGTGTATTGATTATATTATTATCAGAGAGACTTTCAAACTTTGTGTACAAACCTTTATGTATCCTGAGAAAATAGAASACAAAATTCTTCCATTTATTCATTCTTTCTTTTTTTTCTTTCTTTCTTTTTTTTGTGGTGATGGAGAGAAGCATGAGCCGTGTGCATGTCAGGCAAGTGCTCTGCCACTGAGCCCACCTCCAGTCCATAGTACACRGTCCCTCAACTCACACTCACGTTTATAGATTGGGAGAAGTAAATGAGATCACAATTTTTAGTTAGGAAAAATTCAAATTTATAYGATGTTTTAAGTAGTTCAGTTTTATTATTAAAGTGCTATCCATATTTAAGTATGCTGAAAATCAATTTAAAAGACAAAGTACAATAAAAATAATTTTATTAGATTTGCTTTTACTTTAAATATCTAAATGCTATCGGTTTTTGTAAAATGTATCAAATAAAAATTTCCAGGACTTTGGATCACTTGCCTAGGATGTCTGAGGCCCTAGGTTCAATTCCCAGTACTGCAAATAATAATAATAATAATAATAATAATAATAAAAATTATTATAGTAATTTTTCAAATTGGGAAAGTCTACATTTTTAATTAGAGATAACTTTAATCCAATGCTTCTCCTAGATTTTATATAATATGCTATATTTTGTACCGCTTACATAGAATTTCAGTGAGATGCTTACAAAGTATAGGTGTAGATGCTAAATTGTGACAACAAGGTTAACCTTTTCACCATAATGATATGAAAATATCTTTGAAGATTGTAAAACTATAATATGAACATGAAATATCAGTGGCGTATTATAATCATTGGTTTGGGTCGTATTAAAATGTAATATCTAGAAGGTGTTGACCTTCACATTTAGATTCTGATATCAGTTAATGTATATTTTCATTGTTCTGTTTATTGAAATTATTCTAGTAACCCTCTAGGATCTTGTAGATCTATCTGAAAATTAAAAGCAATTTGCTTTCCTTTAAATTTTCTATTGCTGTGATCCAACGAACTTCTAGAATCTACTGCAGTGCTTCTGAGGGAAATTTTATAGATCTTCAGGGTTGGTTTACATATTATATTTTTCTAGGTTCAAAGCACTAACTATGTTGTAAGATGCTATTAGAAAAAGTCTCATTTGAGGTGGTAATCCCAATCCCAAATCCGGGACGATCCTGCCTATTGTTCTTGTTTGATGAAGTTATATCGTTACCTTAATTAGAACACTGTTTCCAGTTATTTCAGATTTTCCATTTGTTGGCCATGCAAATGTTTGCCTTCATTTATTGTATTTTGTTGTTCCGAATGAATAAAATGTAGTGCACCATGATCATCAGTTTCATTTGCTATCAAAGAAGAGTAGGGAAAAATATTTCTACAGAATAAAATTGACCTTCAGAGTTAAAAATGCAGAAATGAAGTTTTTATATTCTGAACAGTTTGTAACATCTATCTCAAAGCAACATTCTGTGTGTTTTATATGCAGTGGACCAAAGAACTATAGGAAGTTTTTTAATCCCTTTTCTCTCTCTTTCTTTATGGCTTGATAAACCTCCATTGCGTACACATATGACATTCTCTTTATTCATTCATCTGCGGGCGGGCACCAACACTGGTTCCGTTGCTTGGCTTTTGTGAATYTTGCTGCTATAAACWCTGTGATGCATGCACTGCTACAGTGTGCTGCTACCTTATACAAAGGAGTGGGATAGCAGGGTCAAATGGTCATTTCATTCCTAGTCTTTTGAGGAATTTCTATAGAACTAGAAATATTCATAAAATTTATATGGAAAAATAAAAGACCCAGAATTGCCAAAGTAATACTAGCAATRATGGAGATGCTGGAGGCACCACAAACCTGATCTCAAAGTATGGTTCAGATCTATAGTAACAAAAGTAGCATGGTGTGGGCATAAAAACAGACATTAAAACCAACGGAATAGGATAGAAGACACAGAGACAAATTCATATAGATACAGTCCCATGACAGGTGCCAAAAACATACACTGGAGAAAAGACAGCTTTTTAAAAAAACGGTGCTGGGAACACTGGATATCCATATGAAGAAGAGTGAAACTGGATCCCTAACTCTCAACCTGCATGAAAGTCAAAAAAAGTGCATCAGTGACRTAGGAATTAATGCAGAAACACTGAAACTGCTAGAAGAAAAAGGGTCAACACTCCAACATAGTGGGGAGGGCACTGACTTCCTTACAAAGATTCCTAAATCTCAAGAAATAATACCAGGAATCAATAAGTGGGGTGCCATCAAATTAAAAAGCTTTTATATGCAAAATAAACCAGAGTGTAGAGAGAGAGCCTGCAGAATGGGAGAAAATCCTTGATAGCTACTCTTCAACAGGGGATTAAGATCCAAAATAAATAAAGAACTAAGAAACTTAACACACACAGCAACCCTACCCCAAATAACCCAATCAATAAATAGACAAATGACCTCAACAGACATTCTTCAGAAGAAAAAGTACAAATGGCCAACAAATATATGGAAAAATGTTCAACACCTCAGCAATCAGGGAACAGCCCATTCAGAGTACACTGAGATTTCGTCTCTCTCCAGTTACCACGGCAGCCGTCAACACAAACAATAATAAATGCTGTCAGATGTGTGGAGAAAAGGAATGTTCTTGCAATGTCGGTGGACGGCATGTTGGGACCACCTTGGAATGGCTCAGGTATTGGACACTCTGGTCAGGACACACACTTTCAGGGCTGTTATG